GGTGGAAGGCGACCCCGTGATTCTCAAGGGGGACGGGTTCCCCACGTACCACCTGGCGAACGTGGTGGATGACCACTACATGGGCATCACCCACGTGCTGCGCGGCACCGAGTGGCTGACCTCGACCTCCAAGCACCTGCTTCTCTACAAAGCCTTTGGCTGGGAGCCCCCTCAGTTTGGGCACCTCCCGCTGCTGCTGAACAAGGACGGTGGGAAGCTGTCCAAGAGGCAAGGGGACATCTTCCTGGAGCGCTTTGTTCGGGATGGCTTCCTGCCAGAGGCACTGCTGGACATCGTCACCAACTGCGGCTCGGGATTCACGGGTAACACCACAGGCCCCTGCTTGCCAGGTCACTTGCTGCTGACTTTGGCAATGGGTTGGGTTTATTTTAATAGCTGAGAACTTTGTCAGTGTTTGAAGGGCTGAGGAAAAGGGTGCCAGTGACCAGTCAGCACTGAAATGCCACCAGGGCTTCTGCGAAGCTCCTGTGAAAGGAGCTCTGCCTCTGTGCAGCCTTTTAAATTGAGTCTGGGGCCTAATGGGTTCCCACCTGGGACAACCCTCACTTCGAGGCAGAAAATCTGTCTGTGAACTCTTGGGAAAACTTGTATGCTGTGGGTAATAATTGCAGTGCTGTCCAACATCTGCCCCACTTCTTGTTTAACCTGACAGGCCACGAGGAGTTGAGTCAGTCTCCTTTTGTGGCTCTTGCTGTGTGGGGATCACAATTAACTCGTGTTTCGGGAGCTCTGCTTGGGAGTGAAATCTTCCTTGGGCAGTGAAGTCTTCTGGCTGAGTGTTACTTCTCTCTCCCTGACTGAGGCAGGGGGTGTTCCCTGGAGGAAGGTGGCAGAGCCAAGTGGAATGTCCCATCTCCCAGTGCCTCACCAGCAGCTGGCAGAGCCTGCTCCTGGGCAGGGGGCAGCGTTCTGTGTGTGCCTGCTGCCAGCTCCCTCCTGCCTGCCAGGGGTGTCCCTGCTCCTGCTGGCACTGCAGTGGCTGTCCTGTGTCACCTTCCCTCGGCGATGCTGCTGCCCCAGCCTGAGCCCTGCAGGGAGAAGGAGTGGGAGAGGGGACGTGTGTGACTCCCTTTGGGTTCTGTTGCAGAGAAGCAGATGGGGAGGACTTTGGAAGAGCTGATCTCACAGTTTGAAATAGGCAGAATTACCACCCACTCTGCCCTCCTGGATCTTGAAATGCTCCCAGAATTCAACAGGTAAAAAATCAGTGGTAGCTTTTAAATATAATGAGCGGCACATCAGTGAGAATTTATTCCTCGCACTTAGCTGTGGCTGGAGGTTTTGTTTGTGGGATCAAGCATGGTCTTGATGCAGCAGCTTTTGGGCTGTGCTACAGGGAACTATAAGTTTGTGCTCACGCCATTTCTTCCTCCTTTTGGGTCCTGTGCTTGGACACTGGTGTTGGGAACACCGTGAAAGGCTGGGGAGAGGGTGGGTGTAGCTGGGAGGATGCAAAGTCTTTAATTTCAAAATAACATCTAAAAAGAGATAACACTTCCAGAAGGTTCTTCTGCAAGTACACTCGTGCTGCTGGGATGTTGTGCTGCTAAGAGTGGCCTCATCTTCAGTTCACTGTGGGGCGCCAGAGCCAAATGTTTCATTGTAGAAATGAATGTGGTTTCATGTTGTTTTTCTAACGGTCCCACAGTTTTAACTGGTAAATGTGGTTGGGGTGACTAGATCAAATCTAACCCAGAGCAGTCCAAGAGCAGGTTTCTTGTCTGTTGCAGGATTCACCTCACCCGTCACATCGAGGACGAAGGGCTGCGCCAGGGGCTCGTTAGGGAGCTGCAGGAGCTGGTGAAGCAAATCTATGGGGATCAGCAAGTGGATCCAGAGGTTCTGGAAAAGGAATACGTGGAGAGAGTCCTCCTGCTGAGAAAAGTATGAGCAGTGACAGCACTGTGTCACCATTCTGGAGCTGAGGTGGTGTGGGATTCCTGGAGAGACAACATGTCCCTGCTGTGAGAGGGATCATGGAACTGTGAGGGTGCTTTTGAAGACCTCTCTGCTTCCCACTCAGAGCAGAACTGTGGGTAGTGCTGGATCAGGTCAGCTGTGGCTTTGTCTAGATAAGCTGACAGTCTCCAAGCTGCTCTTCTCCTGTAGCCCAGGGAGTAGCTGGCTTGGGGCAGGGAGGTCCAGCCCCAGATCCCTCATGCCAGCTCAGCTCTCCCCTTTGCTGGCTGGGCAGTGTAAGGTGTTCTGCTTTGCTGCTGCCCCGTGCCTTGGAAGCAGAGTCCAAGCAGCCTCTGCTGAGGCAGAAGAAGCTCCTGGTGAAACCAGTGTGGTTTGTGTGCTGGGAGCTCAGTGAAGGGGCCGAGTGCTGGCCGGGGAAGGGTGAGCCCAGCTGATCCCAGTCTGCCCCTGGGATGCTGCTGTAGTGTCTGGGAGATTCCTTGTGAAGGATGAAGCCCTCTTTGTAGGGGCAGGACCTGACTGTCCCAGCGTGCTGGCTGTGTGGTGGCAGTGGGACGGTGACTCATGGCTTCCCACTGCCTGGTGAAGGGGCAGATGAACATAATCAGCCACTTCTCCAGCCAGCTCTGAGTCAGTCACACATGGCTCAGCACCTTGGGGACAACCACAGCCCTCTGAGCTGCCTCTGTGAGGGGCTCTGGGGCTGGAAAGCTCAGCTGCCTCAATGTCAGTGACATTCCTGCCGAGCCGTGCGAGGTACAGGGCACTGCTGTGGGGGGGGTCTCCAGCTCGGTGTGAAGCCCAGGCTGGATGGGTTTGCTTTCCCCACAGTGTAACCCTCTGCCTTGCCAGCTTTGCTTTCTTTCCCCAGGGTCACATCAGCCTCCTGAAGAACCTGGTGTCGAGTGACTACTCTTACCTGTGGGTCAGGCCCTCGGTGTCCCGACAGCAGCTGCAAAGGATTTCTGCAGAAGCGGATGAAATAGGAAAACTAGTCTTGGGGTAAGTGTGCTGCTGCCTCAGCTGAGTGTCAGTGGTGGCTCCTCATCTCTGAAAATTGTATTATTAAAAAGCAATCAGAATTCTGCTCCTTCTGTGGTTTCTAGGCATAATTTTGTGATTTAAACTTCCTCTTTTGAACGAGCTCTGCTTCTGGTGAGCAGAGAGAGCACCCTGGCACAGGGGTGGTGTGAAGGGTAGGAATCCTGTGGTTTTCTTGTCCTCAGACTGTAAAGGCACCTTCTTTCCTAAAGGCTCGTGACAAGACAGGCAGCTGCCTTGACCGTGGAGGAGTTGAACAAAGACCTGAGAAACCTCCAGAAGCAAACCAGAGAGACCAAGTACAGCAGCATGATGCAGCTCCTCCGCCTGGCACTCAGCGGGCAGCAGGTACAAACAAGAAGTCTGAGAATGGGACCCTTTCCCCCTTTCCCCTTTTCCCCCCTTTCCCCTTTTCCCCCCTTTCCCCTTTTCCCCCCTTTCCTTTTTTCCCCCCTTTCCTTTTTTCCCCCCTTTCCTTTTTTCCCCTCCCTTTTCTTTTTTTCCCTCTTTCCTTTGTCTCCCTTTCCTTACGCTTTTTTCCTCTTTCCCTTCCTTTCCCCTCTTTCCTCTTCCCTTGCTTCTCCCATTTCCTTTTCCCTTTTCCCAACTCTCTTCTCCCTGGTATCAAGGTGCTGGCACTGGGACACCTCACAGGGCCCACCCTCAGTTCCATGTGGAGCACATGTGCCAGTTCCCAGCAGCTCTGGCCATGAGAGCTGTTCTGCACCTTTGAGAGCAGCAGCAGTGTCAGAGCGTGAATATGCTGGTTATGAATCTAAAGTCAGAAAATCATCTGGAGCAGCCATAGGGAGCATGGGCAAGGTTGTAGGTTTGGGGCAGAACTGGAATTTTACGTGTAATCTGCTTTCACAGAGCTTGAACCCAAGTTTTATGAAAATTCTCCAAAGCCTCATCCTGGCTCAGCTCTGGCATTAATCCTTCAGGTCCATCTGACCAGGGCTGGCACTTGGCCTTCAGGAGGAGAAACCCCAAAGCCTTGTTTGAGCCGCTGATGAACCCCCCTCCTTGCCCTGCCAGCGACCCGAGAGCGAATCACTCTGTGGGTTCCGTCAGGGTGACACAGACCCACGTGCTGGGAATGTGCAGTGACTCCTCCTGTGTCCACAGCACGGGCCGAGCGTGGCCGAGATGATGGTGACTCTGGGAGCCCAGGAAGTGAGCGGCCGGATCCACAGAGCCCTGTCCAGCTGAGTGACC